TATTTTTATTTATTTTAATACTAGCAACCCGCTACGTCTTCGCACGGGCCCAATATTCTATTTTGATATATTTAGCTTTTTGTTTTTATAAAAATATGTATACTGCGTTGAAATATCTGTCAATAAAGGTCTTCTTTCATTAAATCTAAGTGTCTCCGAATGTTTTCATTAACACAACGTTTTTGTACAAAATCAAATACTTATACTAAAACACGTATTAATTTGGATAAGTACTAATATCAAGTTTATAAGGACGCTTTTGCAAATAATGCAATATTTTAGAAGAAAATTGATTACCACAAAACAGGTAAATAGTGAGTTAACCTTAAAAGATAGACGTATATTGTCGCGGTTATTTTTAGTAGGTACTTCTAAAGGAGAACAATTCCGTCATACATATTTTTTGCGTAGCTTCAATGTAGTTTGCGTAGCACGCAACGGACGCACTCAAGATGAATATTTATTAATATTCAATTATTATTTATTAATATTGAATAATTTTTTGCCACCTTTCTCATTGCTTCTCCGCTCATATCGGTCGTACCGTGATGTTATATATCTATAACAGAAACAAATAGCTTGTAGCATTCAGGGATAATATATCTTTCTAACAGTTTTTATTAATCGGATCAGCCGAGCCGGTGACACCCCGTACCCCGAACAAACAAGCACACAAATTTCATCTCTTTATAATATTTGTATAGAAGTATTAGATTTAATATTCGTTATAAGTTGGTTATTTATTGCTTATACACATCCACTACAAAACGCTCAATGAATGAATTGCTTCAGTTCCATTCATGCACTGCATCGATTTTAAGCACAGTGAAGGGTATTAATTATACGGAAACTATAAATATATACGACAAAAATAAATACAACAGTGTTTGTTAGGTGACATCAACTATTTGATATTTGAAGCTAAGTAGCTACCTATTAGCTAAGCAGCTTAGCTTAGCTTAGTATACCTTGTATAGCTAAATTAATAGACAATACAGTCTACATACAGTACATACAAATTTTGCTTAGTTTAATTATGTAATATTATGTTATCTGTGGTTTAATGAAAAAAATAACTTTCGAAATAATAACAAATTATAAATTAGTTATACGAAAAAATATGTATTTAATCAATTTGTTTAAAATCCCTAACATAAGCTCTACTCAGCTTGTGGGACTGGATGGCACTGTGTGTATTATATCAAGGTTATTATTATTATATAGGTAATACATTCATCTTGAAAAACTATATATATACAACAATATATGTATGTACATATATACAAAAACATTTTCTAGATAAAAACAAATATACAGTATAGACCTGTTTAATATCTACGCTGTTAGAACCTACATTATTCTTCGTCTGATTCTAAAAATACAACCAAGATGAACAAAATTGCGGCTGTAATATTTATATAAATCATGTTACAACGAAATAGCGCAGCGTTGTGAAAATTTTGCGTCTCATATACTTTCCACAGCAAGTTCTTTCAAGGTATACGATACCTTGAACTTATTTTATAAAACTTTATGGTTATAATATAATAATAAACTTTTACTTGTACAACACAAGATTAGAACATTAAAAAGGAGCAGTATATAATAGTTAGTGAGTTAGGTAATCAAATGGCAGATTTATTGCAAAGGAACGTTCTACTTTTAAAAGCAAATACCATAGTTTGTGTAAGTAACACCAACTCACAAATGCTATTGATGAATTGTGTCTTTTACTTATTCATCTTCAAGCTAGTTTTGAATGTACTGTTAAAAACTGCTTCATGTTGTGTACTTACATTCATGTTTCGCCTTATACATTTATATTATAAATATATAAGGCGATAAACATGATAATATTTATATCCTGAATTTAATTACAATAACTGCATTTATTGGAATGAAATTAGCTTTATTGTATTAATTATTATCAATTTGGTTAACAATAGAACACTGACGAATATTTAAACAAGGCGTGTTATAAATAAATAAAGTTCAATTAACAATGAACAGCAATTTATTGGAAATTAAATTTATTGCTGTTTAAATATCTAATATTGATATTAAATATTATTACAATATCGTTTATATTCAAGATTAATGAGTTGCTTTTAGGTGGAATATGCACATAAGATAGTTCATTTATAAATTCTACAAGGAATCCGAGAATGATAAATGGTCTCGATTTAGTGAAACGTTATATCACCTATTCGCTTACCGCCGTACATTTGTCAAGATAAGGGATAGGACGAGCGGATGCCAACAATACACACTATTTTGAGTTCGCGTCTTTGTGTACAGAGTATCCATTAGGTAGCCATATGGATGCTCGTTTCAATGCTATCTATTCAAATTTAAGAGAATATTATCAAACTTATATAGATTGTCGCTGGATACATATAATACTAAGCACATATATATAAACATATAAAATTGGGAATTGGTTCAATGATGATTTTACAAATGTATGGTATTATATTAATGATATTCTTTTAGTTTTTCTAAGTATGAAAATATAGAAGAGTCTATCTGTTAATAAAGACATAACTAACTGTCATTATTTACAGTTAGTTTTGTCTTTATTAACTAACACAGACATCAGATTTCTATCTGTAATAATACGTAAACTCTTCTCTATTTTTATACTTTGAAAACTAAAAATAATATTATCAACAAATTGATAAAAAACTAAACATAATATCACTGTTTGACAATAGATTATTAAGTTTTTTAAACGGGGCTTAATTTAAACAGTTCTCAATTCTATATGTTTTTCATAGGTCAAATAGTAGGTGTTAATAATCTCAACAATGAAAAAGAACATGAAGTTGTTATAGCATGTTTTAATTCTTAATTGCCTCGTTATTTACAGTTGCGTTTGTATTCGTACTTCACGTGCCTATAATGCACTTTCACCCTCCTACTATGCAGAAAATGAATCGAGTGTATGAATGGAATTGAATCGATAAATGTCAATGGCAGATTGTAGAGGATGTGAATAAGCAATAAACAACCAACATTTGACAATACTTAAAATTAAAATAAAAGTACACCGATCATGTTCAAAATTACTGTACACTATTTTGGTAACATTGCAAAATCGCGTGCATACTTCCCTCACCTTTTAGTATTATAGCTATCTTAACTATTAGATATGTCGCCTTAGTTCTCAAGAATAGCAACGCATGTGTAAATCATCAATCACAATAACAGGATTCGGTCGGGACCGAAATTTTATCGTTGGTATATTTGCTATTTTATGTATATGAAAAACACTTTATTTATATGTATAGACTGCACATGTTATAGGAAGCAGCGACATACAAATACAGCGACCTTAATTAGTGTAGTCACAGTGATTCTACAGGTTGGTGCCACAGGTTGCGTCTGCAAGTTATTAACGGCCCTAGAATAACTCTTGCAGGCTTGGAACCCCTGTCATACGTCTCCCCCTTATTTAACCCCGCCCCCTACACCCCTCTATTGATGTCAGATTTGCGTGCGCCCCGCACGAGTCATTATTCTTTGTTTTTTAATATAAAATCATTTATCACAAAAGCAACAGCCCGTAGTATAATGCCTTCTAGTTATGGTTGTGTCACTCAATAGATTGTTTTTACTGGATACGATGTAGGCCTTACTAATTACTTTGGGATTCGTGGCATAGTGGTTTACTACCCCCGCATGAAACACTAAAGGTCGTGTATGCGAATTAGATTAGATACCAAAAAGCTTTGTATGTCTATTTATATTTTTAACTGACTCCACGATGATGGAATCGCCGATATCAAACTATTGAGAAAGAAATGATTGTAGGCACACGCCTTGCTTGCTACGTTTAATTCAAATATTCGGCCAGTGTTTAAATTCAACATAAAATAAATTTGTATACACTTTTTGAAAACCTTATCTTGACGAGGTCAATTTATAAAAAAAACTATAGTGTTGATCCATAGTTGTAAAAACTGTACTTAGATAGAATAGTAATACGATAATGTTTTTTTTTTGTGGAATAGGGACAAACGATCTTGTGGAATTTTCTTGAAGACATCAATATCATATCGGTTAAGAAATACAATAGCTAAAAGGTGATATTACTTCCTGCTATCGGCCAGAAATTAACGATCTTAGTGCAAATATTGTTCAATAAATGCTAACAAAAGCATAATGTCATTAAAACATAGTTAACCACACGGCGACTCTCCTAGTTGACCAAAATTGTGTACAAAATTGTATTGGCGGGCAAATTTAAAACAATTTACTCAATAATAGATGGTAAAGCTACTACAGTAAAGCACTACGCTAAGCGAGAAGCAAACGCCAAAATTGAAGTGTATCGGATTAAATTAAACCTTGGCCGTAAGGCGAATTCAAATTAACATCGCTATCGTATACCCCTTGCCGGGTTATTAAGTGATTTAGCGGCGACTACGGAGGTACAAGAAATTGATCGTGTTGGTGAAGTATTTGCTTCAGACGAAATACAGACTTAGACTACATTTTATGCGAGATAAACATTTTAATTTGTATTTCATTTATTTACATTGCGGTATCCTTACTAATAATTCAATAAATAAACAAATTATTCTTTTACGTGACTTAACATTCTCTGGTTTTGATATTAAAAAATCTATATTCTTAGTCTTTAAGCCACCAAAATATTATTCCCGTGTTAAAGTGTTTTTGATTGTTGATATTTCTTAATTTTTTCTGCCTCAGAACTTATTCTATATGAAACGATTAGATTTGTTTTATTCTATTTTTATTGATGTTTTATGTATTTCGATATAAATTTGAACAACATTAGACTGACCAGTACTTTTTGAGTTATCTTTAATAACGCGTTTGTAGTCGGTTTATCGTGGACTGAACGCGGTATTCTTTTCTGATTCTTTATGATAAAGGATAAACTTAAAACAATGATTGCATTCCAGTCTGTATAACGTGCTCTCGTCTAGTTACTCAAAACCTTATATTGACTGATGTTATTTGTTTGCGCACAGGTTACACCGAGGAGCAGCCTTCCACGCAGTTCACCGCCCAGCTGCCGAGCGAGGTGAGCCCGGCCCCCGCCGGCCCCGGCCCCGCCTCTCAGCCGGCACCTCAGCCTCTCTCCTATGCTCTTCTGCAACTCTCCGCCTCTGACTCAACCGAATCGCCCTTCCTCCATGTGCAGCTCCAGTCTTCGCCTGTCTCCCCTCCCCCGCCACCGGCGAGCGGCAAGTCCATCTCTATGTGTTATACCAGCACCGGTGCTCTTCTCTCTTTGCCGCCGAAAAAGAAGGATATTTATCGCCCCTATTGCCTTGGTGACCGCGCCGCCCACCTAAATCGAGCCGAAGAAGATCTTAATGCAGCTCACGCTATCCTCGATCTAAGTCAGCATGCTGTCTTCCTGAGCACGCCACGGGCGGAGCCCGCTCCACCCGAACCACCGCCACCACCGCCGCCTCCACCGGATCCTCCTGTTCAGGAGCAAACAACCGAAAGACCGCGTGAGACTGTCGCCTATACCTACGATGCGTTTTTTGTCAGTGATGGTAGATCGAAACGTCGCAATTACGCCAGCGCGCCTGTAGAGAGCGCCGAACAACCTGAAGCCAAATCTAAGTACACTTGCAGCGAGTGCGGCAAGCGATATGCGACATCATCAAACTTGTCGCGACATAAGCAGACGCATCGTAGTCTCGATTCAGTGGCAGCCAAACGCTGCGGTGAATGTGGTAAGGCGTACGTATCTATGCCTGCGCTTGCGATGCATGTGCTGACTCACCAGCTTTCACACGTATGCGGCGTTTGCGGTAAGTTATTCTCGCGGCCATGGCTGTTGCAAGGTCACCTACGCTCCCACACAGGCGAGAAGCCCTATGGGTGCGCCCACTGTGGGAAAGCGTTCGCTGACCGCTCCAACTTGCGCGCTCATATGCAAACTCACTCAGCCGATAAGAATTACGAGTGCTCTAGATGTCATAAGACGTTTGCCTTGAAAAGTTACCTTAATAAACATCAAGAGTCGGCATGCGTGCGCGACGAGGACTCGCCGCAACCAGAAGCACCTCCATCTGCATCCGGCTAGCCGCCATCACAGTCGAACCGAGCCGACGCAACTTGGGACCGTAACAGAGGCCGAATGGTTTACATTTAAACGTAAAGTATTAATATGAATTTAGCTTGTTAGCGTAATATATATTAAATATACAAAATTAAACAGGAGTGGGCGCGTCCGGCGACATCAACGAAGTGATCGCCGGACGCGCCGTAACTATATCGAGCAACGTTTCGCAAACAACGAATCATGTACGACCCCTTAGAGCCGCGACCGCCGCGCCGTGGCAATAGACCGTAGCGACAGACGTCCCGTTAACGTTAACTTTCAATTATGTACATACTCGTCGATAAAATATACCCTTATATACATAGAAGTAATGAAATATGAATGAAACTAATATCTTTTGTAGGTGATTTTACAACCGCAATGTAGGTTAGAGAGTATTACAGTGTAAGTTTAGCGTTGAGATGCGAGAGCCGAGCGCCGAACTCGTCGGGGGAGTCGGCGGAGCGGCCGAGCGAATGAGCCCGAGCGCTGCCGCGCGCCTCCTCCGTTTCGGTGAGGAACTTGCCAAAACTTTCCGTCCGAAGCTCCGCGCACACGCCGCCGCCGCCGCGCCGCGCCCGCGCCTCTCTCGCGCTACTCCCGCGCCACGCACGCACTACCAGCGCGCCGCCTCGCGACAGTGCCTTAGCAGTAGCGATGGGTGATACGAGCATTCTGTTTTATACAAGTTATACATTTAATGTCGAAATATCGCTGATCAAAGTAGCAAACATTTAATGAAAACAAACAAATTTATTAACATAACAGCTAAAACACATAGTATGGACATTTTGCCTCATAAGTAATAATTACAGTAAATTTGAAATAAACAGTAATTGAAATTGATTAGTACTTTGAATATTCAGCTGATTCAAGTTCTGATCAACAATTTTAAGACGAAAACTATGACGTATAATATGATATGTGCTTTATCACTCACCTCTACAGAGAGCGGCGATCGCGCGCCAAAACCGCTCCGCCGCCGACGTACCGCAGCATAAACGCGAAAATAAATAATTTTTAATATACATAATATTTATTCATATAAGCAATATGAGGAAATAAAAATATATCTAATAAATATATTATAATTTCAAACGAAAGGAGACCTTAACACATCTTAGCCTTGGTTCTAAAACTAACTAGATACGTCTACTTTGAATTTATTTCCATGAATTAAAAATATGAAGATCAGTCAGTAATACAATCCGCTAACAATGAGTTATTTGCGATAAAAACTATACCAAGATCGTGAATGAAAAATATATTTAATTAATCGAATCAAGTATTCTATAATATGTCCGTTATAAATTAAAAATAAAAACAAAAAATATTTTTTATATAAAATATATAATATTAGTACAGATGTTCAATTAAAATTTGCCGGTTGAAGATATATGCGACGAGAATTACTAATCCCTATTTGATATACCTTAAATAGTTATTTTCGTTTAAGGCCAAATTATTGCAAACTTGGGTAACGTTGTATTTAATAGATACCGCAAATCTTAATATATCGAACTTATTTAAAGCAATAAATTTCTAAACAAAGCAAATAGATAATATACCAATTTCTAAGTTACCCAACATAAGGAAATTCATAATTGAACAAATAGATACGGTAATGTGCTCGGACAAATATAGGTATACATATAGAAAATTGTGAGAAACGCGCGGCGGCGGTAGTGCTATGCGGCGAAGGCAGGGGCACAGCCGCAATCATTCCTTACAGCGAGCATGCCTTTAGTTGAGCGTGTTACTAGTGACAACTCAAAACGTAACTGGCAATAAAATAATTTAGGCTAAGGTAGTATTAATAATTAGATTATGAGGCGAACACGAGGTGTTCGGTGAGAAATGGGTATTCGAGAAGCAATAATAATGTAGGAACACAAAGTCGCGCACCGCTGTCTATTAGACAGAGCTGACTTAACCCTGTAGTACCGTAGTATTATAGCGCCCCTCTAGTAGCATAGGCTTCGCAGGTGAGCCCTTACATATTTATTATACTATCACACTATGTAGCACATCATCCAAGTCGACCTAACAATTTATATTTAAATTACTTAGTAGAAATACTATCACGAGATTAATTTCTTTTATTACTTTTTTTTAATTGTAAATTTTACTAATTGAATGATTATGTTTATTTTAGCAGCACTCAGCATTTTATTTTAGCATTGATTTTTATTCCCAGTTAAGTCATTTATATGTCTTATTAATTTCGAAGTAAAGACAGTATGTAAAAAAAAAGTTAAGTTGACAAAGTACCTGTATTAATATTCATCGAAATGGATAGAGTTATTTCCGATATGATATTATATATAATTTATTTAAAGTCCTTTACCGAAATGATAGAGTAATAATGCTGTAACTGACAACCAGTGGGCAATACTAGAAAATTCACACATGAATAAAAAAAACAGCACACATGTGTGGTTTCTGCCAAGCCAATGCTACTTATAGTCTATTAGCTAGTGCCTCATAAGTCAATTCGTCTTTGGTGGATTTCATTTGAACCCTGTCAATTAACTGAAATCTTTTAAAAAGACAAAGTTCCTGTTATTTATTAAATTTTCTCATACTTTAAGAGAAACCACAGTGTCAATGTTTTGGATAGTACATAAATTCTTTTATGAAGTCATATTTTTTAATACGTATTTAATAATGTTGTTCTAATTATTTCTAAAATGTTGATAATATATTTATTACGTTGTGTTGAAAAAATCTAATCATTTTGCTGGTATTTTGTAACGATGTACTTAGTTGGAAAAATACAACAGATACCGTTTAAAAAAAATTAAAATAAGATAAAAAAATATTACTTAACGGTATGTTTAACCCACATTCTTACAATAATTCTAACAACCACTTCGATAGAATTCCAGCAAATGCATTAGTTGACCTGTCAAGTCATATTATTAATCATTATACCTAACTGACAAAAAGTCCTAAAGAGGCACTTTCTTGACTTTAGTGATTATATTCCCTAATCAAAGTATTCCTATATGTAGATGTAGTGCCACATTTTAACTTTACCTATATAACTATACTAAATAGGTCCTCTCACTTAACTACCTATATATTTATTTAAAAAAAATAGGCTTTACCAGACAAAGGTTGCGCGTAATAAGCAATATATTGTAATGATAAGCAATAAGAAGGTAGAATTTATGTAGTGCATAATAATTTATTTATAAAGGATTTTTGTAGATTTTTAGATATTTTTGGTGCTTTGGAGTACTATATTGAAATTTTTAATGAACGAAAACTACATCGAATACGATTATGCATGTATCTATTTATATATATATATATATTATATAGAAACAGTTTTTTTCGATAATGTATTTTATTACGGTGATGTGATTACGTAAACACTAATTGTCGGAAACTGATAGACTTAATATTTTCACTACTGTGAATGGGACTAATCTTTTATACATACATGACATAAAATATTCCCAATGTAATGAAGGCCTTTTATGTCTATAAACTATCTAACTATCTTTCTCCAGGTTTCGTAACAAACACGCCCCTCAAATGTTTCATTCTAGTATTGAGTTTTATATATATACATATATATATATATATATAACTTTCATCTTTGTTTAATTTATCTCGCTATGTAGACACTCTAGTTCTATCTCTTGTACTCCTTCGCAAATATTCCCTTCGAAATAATGATTCTATATATTTATCGTCTAATCTAGCTGTCCCATCGTTCGTCTAACGTAGAAAATGCAAAATTAATAGCTTAAAGTGAAATAAGAAACTAAAACGAGATATTTTATTCAAATATTTATACTAACGTTATTGTAGTATGTATACAGATAATTAAGCATCTACTTAATGAATAGTTAACGAAACCAACTTATATACAAAATTCTATACATTTAATTGTAAATATATCCCTGTGTACCAAATTTCCCTTCTTTACAATTTTTGTAGGTGTAGTGTTACAACTAACTTTATAATTATAGTGATTAACAGTTATGTAGATAAAATGTTAAAAGTCAACTAGACTTCATACATTAGGTTACACGTACTGTTAACGACCTGTTACAATTTGCACTACGTTAATTTATGCATAATAGCATATTATTACGTCCCCAAGCCCTAAATTACGTATTCACGCGAGAAAATTGCTATACAACCAACTACGTTTATTTTACTAAGTTTATTTTTTCTTTAGTAACACTCCATTAATAAATTACAAAAATTACTTCGACACGCCTACAAATCGCAGTATCTGATAAATATTTTTAGAGTGTGTAATACTGGATAATATAATAAAAATGGAGTTACCTATAAGAAGAATAAAGGTAGCATTCGACAAATCGGTATTGACATGCTACGAAGACAGGTGCTCCCTGTCGACAACCACACCAACCGTTCAGATACGATTCTATTGGTATTTTAAGAGCTACGTAAGTCGTAGGCCCTGTCGTACCTACCTTTATTATGATTTATGATATTGAAAACATCCTATATTGTTTTTGGGGCTAAAATGGGAGACTATCATATTGTTATCTAACTTTCAAACTATGTACAATTAATACATACATACTTTGGAGTTACCATACTACACGTTTTACATCCATAATAATTAATGATAAAATGAAGATCCTGTGATCTAGAAATGTATCGGTAGTTTAAAAAACAACACTACATTGCCTACTAACAATTTGTAGGTCTGTATTGACGTACCTAATGTCAACGACAATCAAAGAAAGTTGGAAGTTTTGTAAAATCTAACAGCCTGAACGTACTCGTATTAAATTTAGATACGCAATACATATAAGAAAAATAATGTTACTACTATATTATATATATTATAAGGACGCAAAAGCAGTGATAAAATTAACAATGTCCAAACTAGCAATATTTAAGCAATAAAAACTAGATGTACTTATATTATAATAATTAGATAATTGCAGTATAGCATTAGAAATTAAAGGTTATAAGAAAAGCAATATTAA